TTCAAATGACGTCCTACGGAGTTGACCGGGAAATAATAATGCCGGGATTTTCACCTACATTTACGGTGCTAGGGCAAATTTATCATAGAATAGGTTCATTTTTTTCAGCTTAAAAAGAACAGCATAAATTTTTACAAGTATATTTTACGGGTAACGAAGAAATTGAGGTAGACCGTTGCTGCCAATTTATCCAGGGAGTTGAGAGAGACACAGTGTTCAAAATTCAAAGATTCTTGCATGAACGTAACATTTGAGTCAAAACATTTAAAACTGCTTTATAAAACCTACCTGAAGAGGATTATAAAGTCATCATTCACGCAGATCGGACCCCTCGAGGAGAGCATGAAAGGCGCTACAATGCACCTTTGATAAACGAAATAACAGCCGTAATTAGTGGTGATCAATTTTCTTCACGAGACATTGTCTTGCGAGCACGTGATGATACGTTGCAACGGGTAGTCGATACACACAAGTTTTATGACGCTCTGCAATACCCATTGATTTGTTGCAAAGGACAAGAGGATTATCATTTTCAAATTCCACTCATTAACCCGGTCACAAAGGAGCCTACTCCGAACAAAAAAGTATCCTGTATGGATTTGTATGCGTATCAAATGATGTTGCGAGAAAATTATTTTAACCTCTTAGCCCGTTGTAGACACTTATTTCATCAATTTTTGGTAGACATGTATGTGAAGGTATAAAGTGAACGTATCCGTTATATATATTTAAATCAAAAAAAAACGCGTTGAGAATTGTATACATTTACAAGATGCAATTTCTAGCGACGCCAATGTAAATCCCAGAGATTTAGGTAAAATGTTAATTCTGCCCTCAACATTCGTTAACAGTACCCGCCACCTACATGAGTACACACAAGACGCATTCGCCTATGTACAAACTTACGAAAGACCTGATCTTTTTGTTACTTTTACTTGCAATCCCACATGGAAAGAAATAACCTAGGAGCTAATGCCGGGCCAAAAATGTACTGACAGACACGATTTAGTTCCTAGAGTATTTAGATTAAAAGTACAAAAATGTATGTAATTAACAAAGGGAAAATTTTAGGAGAGGTGCAGTGCTTCATGTAGTCAACTGAATGGCAAAAAAGAGGATTACCGCATGCCCACATTCTAATATGGCTTAAAGAGAAGCTGCAGCCCAGCCAAATAGACGACATAATAAGTGCCGAGATTCCGGATCCTGAGTAAGATAAAGAATTGTATGATACCATCATCCGAAATATGATTCAAGGTCCATGTGGAGCACGAAATTCAATATCGCCATGTATGAAAGAAGAAAAATGTATAAAAAAAATTCCCTAAACAGCTATTAAAAGAAACAGTGCACAATGACAATGGCTACCCTTATAAAACGAGTTTTTACAAAGTATTAGGACAAATTGAATCTGGAAATGGTGCACTTTTCTTTTTAGATGCCTCTGGAGGAACTGGGAAGACATTTTGAAATGAAAGAAAAAAACATTGTTGTGACCGTAGCTTCCTCCGGTATAGCCACGCTGCTAAGCGGGGGCCGCACTGCACATTCTGTTTTAAAACTCCCTCTAAATCTAGCCCAGGAAGAATCGCCGATCTGCAACTTTATCAAAAATAGTGAACGAGGTATAATGCTACGACAATACAAACTTTTAATGTGGTACGAATGTACAATGTCGCATAAAAGAGCTGTAGAAGCACTAAATCCAACGCTCCAGGATTTGCGCAGCAATACCGATGTAATGGGAGGAATGGTGGTTTTACTGGCTGGTGACTTTCGTCAAATTTTACCTGTCATTCAAAAGGGCACACCTGCAGATGAAAAGCTCTCAAGTCGTCTATTTTATGGAACAAGGTGACATAATTCAGTTTAACTACGAATATGAGAGTGCATTTGTATAATGATATCAATGCTGGAAACTATGATGACACACTATTAAAAATTGGCGATGTGCGGTTGGAAACAGATGCTAAGGGCTGCGTTAAACGCATAAACGCATTAACGAGAGATTTTTGTAATTTGGTACAGAGTCATTCCGAATTAATTGCGAGCGTTTATTCAGATTTAACGAACAACATGCATGAAGACAAATGGTTATGTGAAAGGGCGATTCTTTCACCAAAAAATGAGAGCGTTAACAAAATAAATTCAAATATATTAAGCAAAGTAGCAGGAGAAATAACATAGTATTTGTCAGTAGACACAGTTATGGACACAGAACAGAGCACTTCATATCCCGTAGAGTTTCTAAATTCTCTAGAGTCGTCAGGTGTGCCCTCACATAAGCTTCAATTAAAATTAGGCGTCCCAGTCATGCTAATGCTAAATTTATAAGCTCCTCGGTTATGTAACGGGACAAGGCGTGTGACACATCTTGGACGGAACATAATCGGTGCTACAATTTTGACAGGCGTAGGAAAAGGTGAAAATGTTATTATACCACGGATCCCTATAATTCCCACAGATCTTCCTTTTCAATTCAAAAGGTTGCAGTTCCTTATTAAGCTCAGTTTTGCAATGACAATTAATACATCGCAAGGGCAAACGTTACAGGTAGCGGAAGTTAACTTAGACAAACCGTGTTTCTCTCATGGTTAGCTGTATTTAGCTTGTTCGCGTGTGTCAAATGCCCAGAATCTCCACATTCTTTCTCCGAATGGAAAAACATATAACATTGTGTACAGTAGCGTCTTAAAATAGTGTTCTGTTAGTTTCTTTTCCAAAATTCCCACAATCAATTAATCAGAATTCACACAGATCTTCCCTTTCAATTCAAAATTTCCTATTTAGCTCAGTTTCTTTTCAATTCCAAATGCTGCACCTCTGACGGACCTATTAAGCTCAGTTTCCTTTCAACTCAAAAGGCTGCATCTCTGACGGATCTTTTATTTGGCTCAGTTTCCTTTTAATTCAGAAAACTGCATCTCTGGCGAATCAATTTAGCTCAGTTTTTTTTTCAAAAGTCTGCATCCCTGACGGATAAATATGCTCAGTTTCCTTTAATAAAAAAATATCCCCTATCAATTTGGAATAAACAGGCTATTTTCATGCTTTCCTATACGCTGCGTTTCAAAACATTTAAATAGGCTGACGAATCAATTTTGCTCATTTTCCTTTTAATGGCTGTATCTCTGACAAATCTATAAAACTCAGTTTTCTTTCAATTCAAAAAGCAATGGATAGTTCATTTCCCAGTGACCATGCGGGCGAAGCCGCGGGTAATAGCTAGTCCCAAATAAAATTCACCCATCTTTTCTAGGGCCTTTCTCTACTCCTACATTCATCTACTTTCAAAGTCAATATTCTTTTTGATACACGGTTTACTTCTCTTCAGAATATATGCAATTTTCAAATGATGAAAAAAAGACAAATAAGTTTTTACTTAAAAATAGCTATGATATTGATAAGGATCAAATCCGAATTGTCACCGTATAAAAAGTTAAGTGAATGAGAACTCAACCCTTGAGCTGTAACAGCTCTTACAATTTTAGTACTAATAAAAATGTTCATTTGATGAAGCAACCCTAAGTCAGTATGAGAACAGAAACAGAGGACAATCCGAGACCGCCAACATGTTTGCAGTGTCTATCTGCAGTCACATCGCAGCCTAAATGAAGCCATTCGATAAAAACAAAAAACTGTTTCCGTTTCAGACTCTGTTTTTAAATTAGTTTTTTTAAACATGCAAAAGTTTTAATACATAAAATTTTTTACAACGACATTGCGGTCGGACCGGACCGCAATGCTCCATATATTGAAGTCCTTTTTTCTTTTTTTGTAGTATGATACAGAACAGGCTCGATTTAGCGGTAACCCAAGCTTTGAAAGAAGAGTCTATGGTTTTTCACTTAAAAAAAACTAACTACGCATGAACATAATATTCACTTTAACCACTCCTGGTATGCTTAAAATGCTTATGTCAGGAAATGTTTACGAGAGTAATCAAATGGCGATATTGAACTCCTTATTTTTACTCTCTGATTTTTAATAATTTAATTGACAACTTTATTATATAAAACCAGCATTTTATTATTGAGCTTAAAAATTACAAAACGGAGTTTTTTTTGTCTGGTTTCTTCCTCAGTCAGGGGAACCTTATTTCGAAACAACAGTAGATTTGGGGAATGAATGATATTTGACAAAATAAATTTTTAATTTCTTACATCGAAAAAATAAATATTCGTTATTTCATTCCTTTTATTACTCTCACGTCGACGGTGGCAGTGTAAGAATATCCACTACCTCATATCATCCATTAGGTGCCGTAAGAGGCGACAGATGGAAACAAATCAGGGGATTGACAGCAGCGTATTCCTTCAAGTAATAAGAACTAATAATAAAAAACCTTTGGTTGCCAATTCGCCTGCCAAACGTGGCAACTATGGCAATTATCCATATGAGACAATCTATGGGGGGGGGGGCTATTTTCAGCTGTGGACTTTAATTAGGCTGTAACGGTGACGGAACGGATTACTATAATTACTATTAATAATTCTTATAACCGAAAAAAGTAGATAGCAGTACACCGTCATAAGTTGATGATAAGATGGAAAAGAAGAACTCAAATAATTAAACTTGTGTTTTTTCTACTTTGTAAAAAAATGTTTGAAATTGGATTGTAAAATAATAAATAAAATAAAGTTATTTCCCAAATAATACTATTTTATTATATAGTAGTTATCACATTAAATATTTCTCACTCCCGTCTGACATGACGCTTTGAATCATTCGAGCAGTGCTACATTTTAAAACGCGAGGACTCCTGTATACTCTAAAGTAAAATTGAAGTGCTGATGAATAATATTATAAAAAGTTTGTTTTGATTTGCTACATTCCTAGGTTATTCTAGGTTACCAGTTTTATTCGAATATAAAACCCCATTACTGCCGAGGAATCCGTCGCTGCAGGTATTGAAGGCTCGCTGCATGCTGCAATGACAGGAACTACCGTCTTGCCTATAGAATAGAATAGTATAGAATGATTTATATTGTTTGATATTGATGCTGCAATCTCAATCAATACATCCATTACTATCCTGGTCTAGGTATGAAAGGTTATGCTATCGATTATATCACATATAACTGCATGTAGTAAAAAGCTCGAGAAAGACTTTAGAAAGACTAAAAGCAAAACGTCACAAAATAAATAGAAAATAGTTTTCCGTTTATATTTTCTGAGATTTTCTTGTAAAAGCATAACAAACAACATGAATTACTTACTCTGTGGAGTCTATGTGTGTAGCTGGCATTACAAGCTTGTTTATTCCTACTCTTCATATTTACATTATGCATATTACTTTTCTTATTATAGCTTTTGTATTTAAGTATAGCTTGCTGTAAATTTCACAATACGCGAGCTACTCTGTTTGAATCCCCGCCGGCACTAATGAAATTGTTAATTTCTATTTAAAGTGCTGTTACGTGCTTGGCGTTGAAGAAAAAAAAACGTGAGAAAACCTTAATGTCTGAGAAATATCAAAAAATTTCGAAACCATGTGAAGTCCGTCTAAAACGCATTGGAAAGCAGCAGACTATTCCTTCCCCTAAAAAAATTCAGAAATGAGAGGGTTGTGCCTAGGACGTATAAAGGCTGTAAGTTTAATGTTTCTATGTATCTACATTACATTTTCATAAATATATTGCCAGATCAAAGTTGACATAATTTCTATTAATTTCTTAAAAGTTTTCTCTAGGAGTTTTCTCTTTTACAAAAATAAATATACAAGTAAATGATATATCATATATCAAAATTTCTTATTATTAAAACAACTTGATTTAACCAATCTATTTGTCTTTTAATATTTCTTACAGCATAATAAACTGCAGAACTCTCTGCTGGCTAATACGGTTTGTTTTATATTTATAGAATCTCTATTCGAAAGCTAAGATAAAGTAAAGTAACAGCCTATATATGTCCCACTGCTATGCACAGGCTTCCTCTCAATTCTAAGAGAGTTTTAGGGTGAGAGAATGTCCGTCGCGAAACCCCAATGTGTGTTGGTGAACTTAATAACAATAGTAATGTTGCAACAAGCGCCATCTAGTGTCGTTCCCCGACCCAGAACGAGGAAGGCTATCTAGAAAATACCATTAGAGATACGGTGGAGGTCTGGGCTTTAGTGGCATCCATTTTGAGGGACATGTACTGGACTACCAGTTGTGATGTACCGTGGCTTACTTTTCGACAAAGCGAGCTAATGCGCATTTTTGATCAGAGTTAAGTTTTCCCTCTGTAGCGATGGAGCACACCTCGTTAAGGCACAGGTCAATGCTTGTCATCCAATGCTGCAACTCAGGAGTTGGAAGTGTTTTAATTGGTTCGCTTGAAGTGGGTGTCTGCATGGGCGGGGTTGATGGAGGCGGGGTGCGAGTGGTCCTGGCACTCCGGTTGAAGGGACTGTTCTCCATTTCTAGATAAAGCTAAAACATTTCAACAAAAATCACTAACACAAATATAACTAAAGTATGACACAGTTACTTCCGGTATTGTTATAACGAGGTCACGGCTAAGCACATACTTATTTAATTATTTTAATTACTATATGACACGTCTGTACACAATAACGCGCACTTACGAACCCTTGGCTGTGATTGTAAATTTGCATGACATCAGATAGAACAAAGAGAGTCTTTTGTAAACCACTGTAATACCGCTGTATTTAACTATGTTCAGCAAATAAATATTATTATTACTTAAGGGGTATATCTATAGTTTTCTCATCTTATATAATTGCTCATATACTTACTAATATACTTGTTTATATACTTACTTATTACTTGCTGATATACTTGCTTATGTACTTACTTATATACTTGTTTATATACTTGCTTCTATACTTACTTGTTTACTTACTTACACACTTTCATAAATACTTGGATATATACTTGCTTATATACTTGCTTATACACTTACCTATACACTTACTTATATACTTGCTTATGTATCTACTATATATTGCTTATATATTTGCTTATATACTTACTAAAATACTTACTCGTTTATTTGCTTATATACTTGATTATTACTTTATACTTACTTGTATATTTTATTTTTATTTTATTTACTTACACTTTATTGTACTAAAGGTACAAACGGCGGACTTAATGCCATATGGCATTTTCTACCAGCCAACCGGAAAGTTAGTGGGAGATGTGTGTACTGCAGTGGGCTAAGATGAAACCTAAAATTGTTAAATTTCACATACCCCCCCCCCCCCACACACACACATCACACACACATATACTCATAGCTCAAACTTAATATATATATACATACATACACATACACATACATATATACATATACATACATACACACACATATACACACGTATATACATACATATACAATAGATATAATAGATTAAATGCTATAGATTATTTATATATTTATGTGTCAGATGAACCCAAATAATGTTCCTTTACCTTTGTTTTAAAAATCCACTTGTTGGGGGATTTTCTTATTACTAGGGGAAGCGCATTCCAGAGTCTTACAGCTGTAACAACGAAAGAGTTTGAGAGGAAACCAGTACGGTGAGAGGGAGTATTGAGCACGAGATTGTTACGAGAGCGAAGATTGCAATCATGGGAAGAACCCAGGTATTGAAACTTACATTTCAAATACTCTGGGGCCAATGGATCGTTAAGAATTGTGAAAAGAGTGCTAAGTATTCTAAGGCTCCTGCATTGTGGGATATTTAACCATTTAATTTGAGAGCGATAGAAAGAGACGTGGTCATACTTTCGAAGACCGTAAATGAAACGGATACAGTTGTTGAGAAGCCGATCCAATTTATTGACCAAGTATTTGTCTGCATCTAAGTAACACAAATCAGCATAGTCAAACATAGGAAGAATTAGCGATTGAATTAGAAGTTTCTTCGTACAAGGCGGTAAGATATTTTTATATCTGTACAATTTTCTCAGAGTAGTACAAACTTTACGGCTAACTTCCTCAACATGACTGCGCCAAGTAAGTGAACAATCCAAGGTTAATCCCAAGTCCCTAATATGGGAGCTGTAAGGAATTACCTCGCCATTATAAATCAGAGGATCGAACGATGTGTGATTAAGTTTACCTAATTGACGTGCACTGCCTAACACTATAGCTTGGCATTTGCTTGGATTAACAGCAACCCCATACCTTCTTGACCAATTAAGAATCCAGTTAAGATCGGAGTTAATCACGGTTATAGCATTATTTATGGAAGTAGCATCGGCATGAGCATAGAGTTGCAAATCGTCGGCATACATATGGTAGGAAGGACGAAAATTACAAGTGATCATTTTAATAAATATAGAGAAAAGTAAAGGAGAGAGAATTCCACCTTGCGGAACACCAGTGGTTAATTCTCCCCAATCGGACACCATACCATCGACCCGAATCGCCTGCTGGCGACCACGAAGATGGGAGGAGACCCAATTCCGTGCTAGTAAGGAAAAACCTATGTAAGACAAGATGGCGATGAGAATATCATGGTCAACGGTATTAAAGGCGTTAGAAAAATCTATTAAAACTAACACCGTCAACTTTCCAAACTCCAGCCATCACGCAAAAAACGCCGTTGTGGTGCTATGTCCAGGTCGAAATCCTGATTGGTGTTGATTCAATAAGTTGCTTTTGGTTAAGTGAGTTTGTATCTGTTTGAGCGCTACAGCTTCTAAGACTTTTGACAAAAACGGCAAAATCGATATAGGCCGAAAGTGATTGAGAGCACTGGGCATAGAGATTTTTGGAAGAGGGAGAACAAAAGCCTTCTGCCAGCATAACGGAAACTTCCCAGTAAGCAATGAGCGGTTTATAATGGAGGTTAAAATTGGTACAATATGATCTGAAACATATGATATTATGGTTCTTCCTATGTTGTCATGACCTACTGCCTTTGATTTAAGTTAGCAAGCAAGTATATAAGCAAGTATTTTCTTGTATACTTGCTTATATACTTGCTTATACACTTACTTATATACTTGCTTATATAACTGCTTATTGACTCACTTATATACTTGTTTATATACTTACTTATATACTTGCTGATGTACTTGCTTATATATATTTGCTTATGTACTTGCTTATATACTGTATTATATACCTGCTTAATTACGTGCTTATATACTTTATTTATATAATTGCTTATATACTTTATTTATATAATTGCTTATATACTTGCTTATAGACTCACTTATACACTTTTTATGTACTTACTTATATACTTGTTTTTATAATTGCTCATATACTTGCTTATACACTTAGTTATATACTTGCTTATATACTTGCTAATATACTTGATCTTATACTTGCTTATATTATACTTACCTATATACCTATACACCTATATACCTACTTATGTCTGTTGTAATAAAATAAATAACGCAGTTTAATAAACGTTAATGGTTTTTATTTGAACACCTTGTACACACCATGACAATAATTTATATTGAAGAAAGAGACAGGGTTACCAACATCAAAAATTAAATTAAGGTGAAATTTTATTGTCATATTCTAACACCCCCACTCAATGTAATTGCAGCGAATTAAACTGATTTACAAAACAAATACGTACTAAATTTTATCAATGTTACCTATACCACATTTTTTTAAGAAACGATTTATCAATTCTCTACTTAAAGATTTTGTAAGCATGTCAGCAGGTTGATCATTTGTTTTAACATATTTTAAACATATCATTTTATTTTTAATTAATTCTTTTATAAAATGGTAACGGATATCAACATGTTTTAATCGTTTGATAGTATCGGTACATACAGCAGATATGGCTGATTGATTATCACAATAGATGTGTATAGGACATATATTATTTATTTTGAAATCTTGTAACAAATTAACAAGCCAACAGGCTTCACTGGCTGCCATACTAATGGCAATATATTCAGACTCTGTAGAAGATAAGCTAACAGCTACTTGTTTCTTTGAGCTCCATGAAATTAAACAGTTAGAGAATTTGAATAAGTAGCCTGTAGTTGATTTTCTATCATTGAAAAAACCCTCCCCAGTATGCATCACAATATCCCTCCAAAACATTATCTGTACATTTATAAACTAACTTATAGTCTTCTACATTTATAAAATATAAAAGCAATTATATAATTAAGTATATAAGCAAGTATATACGCGAGTTTATCGGCAAGTATATAAGTAAGTATATAGGTAAGTATATAAGAATCGTCATCGTCATCGTCATCTCATCGTCGTTCATCGTCATCGTCATTCATCGTCATCGTCATCGATCGTCATCGTCATCGTCATCGTCATCGTCGTTCATCGTCATCGTTCATCGTCATCGTCATCGATCGTCATCGTCATCGTCATCGTCATCATCATCATCATCATCAAGTATATAACCAAGTATTTAAGCAAGTAAATAAGCAAGTATATAAGCAAGTATATAAGCAAGTATCGTTACGATGATGATGACAATGACGACGACGATGACGATGACGTTGACGATGATTGCGACGATGACGATTGCGGTAACGACGACGATAACGATGACGATGATAATGACGCTGACGACGATGGTGACGATGACGATCACGATGACGATAACGATCACGATGGATATCATCATGACGATGATGATGAAGATGACGACGATTGTGACGATGATGATCACGATGACTATGACGATGATAATGACGATGATCATAACGATGATAATAACGATGAAGATTATAGAAAAGATAACGATTACGATGACGATAATAGTCATCACTGTGTCAGATCATAGTACCACTACTGCATTAATTAATGTTATTGATAATATTAAACAAGGCATGGAAAAAAAATAACAGTACTGGTACTAGTTGATTTCTCAAATGCTTTCAACACAGTTGATCATGAAATCCTTCTTTCCATACTGTCTCATTTTTTCTGAACTTTGGCCCTACTGAATTGGATTGGTTTGCATCTTATCTTCGCGGTCGACAGCAGTCAGTCAATGTGCAGATTGTCTGGTGTGCCGCAAGGCGGTATTCTTTCTCCTATAATGTTTTCAATTTTTATAAACTTTATTACCTCCGTCATCAACTGCTCGTACCATTTATATGCCGATGACCTTCAGCTTTATGTGCAAACTGAGATTGGTGATATCCATAATGGGATCAAAAACCTTAACGGCAACTTAGCAGCTATCAAGGATTGGTCTACTCGTTATGGAGTTTTGGTCAATCCTTTAAATGCCAAGCTATACTGGTGGGTAGCTCAACGATGCTGGCTAATATTAATCTGACAGACTTACCTCCTATTTACTATGATAATACTACAATTCCATTCAGTAATTCTGTTAGAAATCTTGGCCTTCACATCGACAGCACGCTGAATTGGAGAACTCAGGTTTCAGATGTGAGTCGTAAAGTCACTGCCGCGTTATGCTCTCTGTATCGTTTAAAATATTTTCTTCCCACAAAATCTAAGATCATGCTTGTCCATTCACTTATATTACCCATAATTGATTATGCAGATGTGTGTTACCCAGACCTGTTCCAAGATCTTCTGAACAAGCTGGAACACCTCCTCAATAACTGTATAAGATTTGTCTTTGGGCTTCGTAAGTATGATCATATTTCTCAATACAGATTTAAGCTAAATTGGCTTACAATCCGGCAGAGGCGCAACTCCAGAATATTACTTGTACTTTTTTCCATATTAAATGATCCATCTTCGCCTTCTTATGTTAAGAGTAAATTTCATTATCTTTCTTCATCTCATGATAGGGTCCTACGCTCTTCTTCTAACAACGAAATCTGTACTCCAGTTCACTTCACCGAGTTCTTCCTTCACAGTTCAGGCTACACGCCTTTGGAACTCCTTGCCCGATGACATAGGAAAAGCTCCCAATAAGTACGCTTTTAAGAAGTTGGTCCGTGATCATTTCTTAAAGACAACGCATTTTACATGACTCATCTATTTAATATGTATTGCCAAACAGACGTATATATTCATAGTCATTTGTATATACTAATTATGTATATATTTAAATATGTATACATGTATGTATATCCATTTATTTATATATTTGTATATATGTAAGGATAGATCATATATGTATAGTATATTTATTAGTAGTTTGTATATGTTATGTAGTTAATTATTGTGTTCTCTTATTCTATATTGCCACACTTACATCAAATTCTCACCACTCCATAGGTCGACTGGTAGAGAATGCCTCAAGGTATTAAGTCCGCCCTTTGTATTCTTTTGTTTAAGGATACAATAAAGAATAAAATAAATAAATAAATAAATAACGATGCTGACGATGACGATCACGATGACTATGAAGATGATGATGACGATGATCATAACGATGACGATAACGATTTCGATGATAATAATGATGAAGATAGTGACGATGACGATTACGATGACGATAACGATCACGATGGCTATTATAATGACGATGATGATGAAGATGACGATGACGATGACGATGAAGTTGGCGATGACGATGACGATGATGATGACGATGACGATGATGATGCCGATGACGACGATGACGAAGATGATGATGATGATGACGACGACGATGACGATGGCGATGATAATGACGATGAAGATGATGGTGACGATGACGATTACGATGACGATAACGATCACGATTACTACCATAATGATGATGATTATGATGATGATGATGATGTTGATGATGATGACGATGATGATGACGAAATTCATGACAATGACAATGACGATGATGATAATGTCGATGACGATGATGGTGATGATGTACCGATGTCGAAGACGATAACGATGACGATAATGATAACGATGACGATGATGATGAAGATGACATCATGATGATGACGGTGATGGCGACGATGACGATTGCGATGACGATCAAGATTACGATAACGATCACGACGACGATGACGATGTCGATGACGATGATGATAACGATGACGATGATGAACGATGACGACGATAATGACGATGAAGATGATGGTGACGATGACGATTACGATGACGATAACAATCACGATGACTATCGTGATGGTGATTATGACGAAGATGACGATGACGATGATGAAGACGATGATGATGACGACGATGACGAGGCGATTACGATGACGATAACGATCACGACGACTATCACGATGAAGATGATGATGAAGATGACGATGACGACGATGATGACGGTGACGATGATGATGAAGATGACGTTGATGATGACGATGACTATAACGATGACGATGATGTTGAAAATGACGAAGGCGATGATGGTGACAATGACGATTACGATGACGATGACGATCACGATGATTATCATGATGACGATGACGATGACGATGAACGACGATGAAGATAATTATGACGATGATGACGACGATGATGATGACGACGGTGAAGATGATCATAACGATGACGGTGACGTTGACGATGAAGATGATGATAAAGATTACGACGTCAATGACAATGACCATGACGATGACGAGGGTTATGACGATGATGAACGATGACAATGATGATGACGATGATGACAACGATGACGATGACGATGATAATGACGATGAAGATGATGGTGACGATGACGATTACGATGATGATAACGATCACGATGACTATCATTATGACGATGATGACGAAGATGACGACGAAAATGACGATAACGATGGCGATGATTATGACGATGACGGCGATGACGATGACGATGACGATGACGATGACTAAGACTATGACGATGACGATGACGATGACGCTGACGATGACGATGGCGATTACGATGACGATGACAATGATGATGATGATGATGAACATGACGTTGACGATGCCGGTGACGATGATGATGACCATGACGACGATGATGATGACGATGACGATGACGATGATGATGTTGATGACGATGTCGATAACGATGATGATAACGATGACGATGATGATGTCAATGACGATGACGATGAAGTTGGCGATGACGTTGATGATGAAGATGACGATGACGATGCTGGTGACAATGATGATGACAATGATGATGACTATGACGACGATGACGATGATGACGACGATGTCGATGACGATGTCGATGACGATGTCGATGACGATGATGATAACGATGACGATGATGATGAATATGACGATAACGATGCCGGTGACGATGATGATGATGATGATGATGATGATGATAACGATGATAATGACGATGAAGATGATGGTGATGATGACGATGATGACGTATATCATGACAATGACAATGACGATGATGATGATAATGTCGATGACGATGATGGTGACGATGAATAACGATGACGATGATGATGATGATAACAATTACGATGACGATGACGATGACGAAGACGAAGACGATGACGATGACGATGTCGATGATGATAACGATGATGATGAAGATGACGATCACGATGCCGGTGACGATGATGATGGTGATGATGATGATTATGATGACGATGAAGGTGACGATGACGATTACGATGACGATAACGATGGTCACGGATAACGGTGAGATGATGATGACGATGATGACGACGATGACGAGATGACGATGACGATGACGGTGACGATGATGATGAAGATGAGGTCGATGATGACGATGACGAAGACGATGACGATGGTGATGAAAATGACGATAACGATGATGGTGACGATGGATAACGGTGAGATGATGACGATGACGACGATAATGACGATAACGATGATAATCACGAAGACGATGATGGTGACGATGACGATTACGATGACGATAACGATCAGGATTATTACCATAATGATGATGACGATGATGATGACGAATATCATGACAATGATAATGACGATGATGATGATAATTTCGATGACGATGATGCTGACGATGAATAATGATGACGATGACGCTGACGATGACGATGACGATGATGATGACGAAGACGATGACGATGACGATGTCGATGACGATGATGATGACGATGACGACGATGATGATGACGATGACGATGACGATGACGATGTTGATGACGATGTCGATAACGATGATGATAACGATGACGATGATGATGTCAATGACGATGACGATGAAGTTGGCGATGACGTTGATGATGAAGATGACGATGACGATGCTGGTGACAATGATGATGACAATGATGATGACTATGACGACGATGACGATGATGACGACGATGACGATGACGATGTCGATGACGATGTCGATGACGATGATGATAACGATGACGATGATGATGAATATGACGATAACGATGCCGGTGACGATGATGATGATGATGATGATGATGATGACGACGATTATGATGACGATGAAGATGATGGTGATGATGACGATGATGACGTATATCATGACAATGACAATGACGATGATGATGATAATGTCGATGACGATGATGGTGACGATGAATAACGATGACGATGATGATGATGATAACAATGAGGATGACGATGACGATGACGAAGACGAAGACGATGACGATGACGATGTCGATGATGATAACGATGATGATGAAGATGACGATCACGATGCCGGTGACGATGATGATGGTGATGATGATGATTATGATGACGATGAAGGTGACGATGACGATTACGATGACGATAACGATGGTCACGGATAACGGTGAGATGATGATGACGATGATGACGACGATGACGAGATGACGATGACGATGACGGTGACGATGATGATGAAGATGAGGTCGATGATGACGATGACGAAGACGATGACGATGGTGATGAAAATGACGATAACGATGATGGTGACGATGGATAACGGTGAGATGATGACGATGACGACGATAATGACGATAACGATGATAATCACGAAGACGATGATGGTGACGATGACGATTACGATGACGATAACGATCAGGATTATTACCATAATGATGATGACGATGATGATGACGAATATCATGACAATGATAATGACGATGATGATGATAATTTCGATGACGATGATGCTGACGATGAGTAATGATGACGATGACGCTGACGATGACGATGACGATGATGATGACGAAGACGATGACGATGACGATGTCGATGACGACGATGATAACGATGACGATGATGAAGATGACATCATGATGATGACGATGACGATGTTGATGACGATGATGATAACGATGAGGATGATGATGAAGATGACATCATGATGATAATGACAATGACGATAACGATGATGACGATGAAGTTGAAGGCGACGATGAGTATTACGATGACGATAACGATCACGATTACTAACATAATGACGATGATGATGATGATGATGATGATGACGTATATCATGACAATGACAATGACGATGATGATGATAATGTCGATGACGATGATGGTGACGATGAATAACGATGACTATTTTAATGATAATGACAATGACGATGACTATGACGATGACAAAGACGATGACGATGACGATGTCGATAAAGATGATGATGACAATGACAATGATGATGAAGATGACATCATGATAATGACGATGATGATGACGATGACGATGTCGGTGACGATGATTATAACGATGACTGTGATGATGATGACATTGTGATGACGATGATGATGATGATGACGATAACGATGATAATGACGATGATGATGACGAATATCATGACAATGACGACGATGACGATTGCGATGACGATGACGATGACGATTTCGATGACGATCACGATAACGCAAACGATCACGACGACGATGACGATGTCGATGACGATGATGATAACGATGTCGATGATGAACGATGACGATGATAATGACAATGAAGATGATGGTGACGATGACGATTACGATGACAATAGCGATCACGATGACTATCATGATGACGATTATGATGAAGATGACGATGACGATGATGATGACAATGATGATGACGACGATGACGAGACGATTACGATGACAATAACGAATACGATGACTATCACGATGATGATGATGACGACGTTGACGATAATGTTGAAGATGACGATGACCATGATTTATGTTATTATTGTTGCGCGGCTAAGTTGGCATCTGGCACTAGCGCCATCTAGTGTCGGGTAACAGAGCGAAGAGAGAGCTTTCCAGAAAATGACATCACTAATCTTTCAACCGACAGCGCCATCTTGTATCGAATTGAAGAACTAAGCTTTCTGGAAGCCCCACACTCTAACTTTCTGCGCTTGGTCGGTTGGCGCGTGTATTTACTCGAATATTCTGTAATATTCTGGATGTTTTCGTGGAAGAGCCCTATATAAAGGCGCTGCAATACGCGATCGGGGAAGTATTGAATTCGGCGAGACAATTGAAGCTTCGGAGCGGAATAAAGTGAATCAGTGTGATTAATTATTAGTGTTTTAAATTTAAATTTAGAGTAAAAGCTAGAACTGCGGGGCGGGTGCTGGCTGATGTTAAAAGAGCCCCAAGGATCTCGATCCCACAAACCCATGATGGGAATAACCTAATCATCAAGGGCGAGATCAACGGAATGCCGTGTAAACTGACCATAGACACTGGAGCCTCTCGCACGGTTGTCAGTTCCCAACTTATAAGACAGTTCCTTGGTGACTGCGCATACAACCGAGAACGCATTAATTTGGTAACAGCCACCGGTCAGCGTATACCCGTCCATGGAAAGAAGGAGATGGAGTTGAAGCTAGGCAACGTGATCTACCTGCATAATGTCATCGTGGCTGATATAATGGACGACTGCATCCTAGGCCTAGACTTTATGAGGAATAATTGTTATGAGATCGACGTTAAGCAAGGTGTTTTGAAATGTGGACAGGAGGAACTTTTTATGGAAGGTGCGTTACCAGGGAACGTGTACAGCATTAAGAAGATTGTTCTTCCGCCGGGATCGGAAACGATTGTTCCGGTTAGTCTTACTTGTGGAAAGGGTAAACAATGACCTTAAAAAACCTTCTACATCTCAAGAGTACGTGTGCTGAACCTTTGTGACCGGGAACATATTATAGAAAAAGGCACACTGGTTGGTACTTGTGAGGAAGTGGATTGGTTACGTCGTTGCCAATATATATCGAGTGGGACCCCCAGCAAGGATTCAGAAACGAGAGTGATCACACTTTTGGAAGACTGTCGCAGTGTTCTCTCCCCGAACGAATTAGTCAAGGTGAAGAAGTTGTTACTCAAGTACGCCGATGTATTCTCATCAAACGATGCTGACATAGGAAAGACTGGCTTAGTTCAACACAAAATAAACACAGGAGAGGAATTGCCTATCCATCAGCGGCCAAGAAGATTGCCGGTAGCACGTGAAAAGGAAGTGGAAACCATGATTGAGGGAATGGTGAAGGATGGTGTTATTGAACCTTCATCTAGTCCATGGTGTTCACTCGTGGTGCTGGTAAAGAAGAAGGATGGCAGCATGTGGTTCTGTGTTGATTACAGCCGTCTGAACGAGGTTACAAAGAAGGACAGCTATCCCTTGCCAAGAAATGATGACACGCTGGACATGCTTACAGGAGTAAAATGGTTTAGCACGCTGGATCTAGAAAGTTGCTACTGGCAAGTTAAAATTGACCCTAAGGACAAGGAGAAAACTGCGTTTTCGACGGGAAAGGGTCTGTGGCAGTTCAAAGTAATGCCGTTTGGGTTGTGCAATGCTCCAGCAACGTTTGAAAGGCTGATGGAGCTTGTACTTACTGGGCTAATTGACGATGCCTGTCTGGTCTACTTGGATGACATCATCATCGTGGGCCGTACGTTTGAGGAACACCTTCAGAACCTGGAACGCGTGCTCATGAAGATTCAGAGTGCCAACCTCAAGTTGAGTCCGAAGAAATCAAGTCAACTTTTTGGGGTATGTAGTGTCGGAAGAAGGTATCCGTACGGATCCGGAGAAAATCGCCGCTGTCAAGGATTGGCCAGTTCCAAAAGACAAGACGCAGGTTAGAGCAATTTTGGGTTTGTGCTCCTATTATCGGCGATTTGTGAAGAACTTTGCAGATATAGCCAAACCTCTGCATAAGCTAACCGAGGAGAAGCGACATTTCTGCTGGGATGAAAGTTGCAATATCGCATTCCAGGAGCTCAAGGACCGTCTGTGGAAAACACCTATTTTGGGATACCCTGATGCAAGCAAAGAATTTATAGTTGACACAGACGCAAGTGATATAGGATTTGGCGGTGTGTTGTCGCAACGGAATTGTGACCAAGAGGTCGTGATAGCGTACTTCAGCAAGTCATTGTCAAACTTGGAAAGGAACTATTGTGTCACAAGACGCGAATTGCTAGCTGTGGTAAAGTCGTTGCAGCATTTTAGCAAATATCTTCTGGGGCGGAAATTTCACTTACAAACTGACCATGCTGCACTAAAATGGCTATTGCAGTTTAAAAATCCAGAAGGCCAAGTTGCGAGGTGGATTGAACTTCTGCAGGAATATGACTTTGAGACCGAACATCGCAGCGGGAAATCTCATGGCAACGCAGATGCATTGTCAAGAAGACCTTGTCCTGAAGATTGTAAACATTGTACTAGGCAAGAGAGTAAGGAAGTGGTATCCGTGAGGATGCTCAGGGCAGACCACCTCAGCAACGAGTGGAAGGACAGCTTACAACGTGCACAGCAGGAAGATCCGGACATCAAACCGGTTCTGGAATGGATATAGGCCAGTGCTCCCAAGCCCAAGTGGAGTGACGTCTCAGCGATGAGTTCGACCACTAAAAGCTATTGGGCCCAATGGGACAGCTTGCTGCTTCAGGATGGAGTTCTGTGTCGTAAATGGGAAAATGTTCGGGGAGACAGCTGTCATTAGCAAATGGTTGTCCCTAAAGCTAAAGTAGCGGATGTTATACAGCTGTACCATAATGATTGTTCAGGAGGCCATCTGGGACGAACTCTACTGCAGATCGGAGAACGGTTTTACTGAGTCCACTGTCGAAACGATGTCGAGGACTGGTGTCGCAAATGTACAAGTTGTGCGGCTGTAAAGGGACCTCAGACTCGTAGTAGAGGTGCATTGAAGTTGTACAATGTTGGTGCACCATGGGAGAGAATAGCCATTGACGTGGCGGAACCGTTTCCGGAGAGTGAAAGCGGTAACAAGTATTTCATGGTTGTGATGGATTACTTCACTAAGTGGCCAGAAGTCTTCGCCATTCCAAATCAAGAAGCTTCAACAGTTGCGGATAAGCTAGTTCATGAAGTCTTCTGTCGTTTTGGAGTACCTTTAGAGATTCACAGCGATCAAGGAAGGAATTTTGAGTCTCAAATATTCCAGGAATCTTGCCGAGTTATAGGTACTCACAAAACAAGAACGACTTCTTATCACCCGCAATCTGATGGAATGGTAGAACGATTTAATCAGACATTGGAGAGGTACCTGACAAAAGTTGTAGACAATCGGCAACGAGATTGGGACATGCACATACAACCGTTTTTGTTGTCATATCGAAGCGCTGTTCACGAAAGTACAGCAGTGACACCAGCTTTCGCAAACTTTGGAAGAGAATTACGGATTACCAGAAAATGACATCACTAATCTTGCAACCGACAGCGCCATCTAGTATCGAATTGAAGAACTAAGCTTTCTGGAAGCCCCACACCCGAACTTTCTGCGTTTGGTCGGTTGGTGCGCGTGTTTACTCGAATATTCTGGAATATTCGGGATGTTTTCGTGGAAGAGCAAAAGGCGCTGCAATACGCGATCGGGGAAGTATTGAATTCGGCGAGACAAGCGAAGCTTCGGAGCGAAATAAAGTGAATCAGTGTGATTAATTATTAGTGTTTTAAATTTAAATTTGTGTAAAGAAAATTAAAGTGTTAATTTAGGTAATTTTATCGGCAATTTTTATTGTCACGAACCTGAAGCTCGTAACATTATTAAATGAAAATAATATCCTTTTCTAAAGAATTTAAACAAACATTTATTAGTGACAAAATACAACACTATACTAGTAATGACCACAGAGTAGAGAGAGTGCTTTTTTATCATAGATTATATAATAATATACAAGACACAGAACACAAAAAATCAAAGAGAATGAAAGGAGAAGTAAATAGCTGATAGAGAGGAATGGAAAAAACTCAAGAAAGGGAAATGGCTTAGAGAATGATGATGACAAGAGCACAGATTATAGAAGGCGCAAATTTTTTTTTTACAACACACCCCCTAAATTAATACCTTCTAGTTGTTAATTTTTACATTTCAGACATAAAGCAAACAATAAGTTTAGTATTTAAGTATTATTTGACTTCATGGTAAGATTTACTTCCAATTTGATCTCTAAGATATCAAAATTTTATTTTACACAATGGTTTGGTAAAAAATATCAGCATATTGCTCATCACTGCATACATACATATATAGGTAAGTATGTAAGCATCGTCATCGTCATCATATTCTTCATCGTCATCGTCATCGTTATTGTCATCTTGCTTATATACTTGCGTATATACTTGTATTTATACTTGCCTATATACTTGCTTATATAATTGCTTATATAAGCCAGTATATAAGCATGATGATGAAGATGACGTCAATGATGACTATTACGATGACGATGACGATGTCGATGATGATGATGATGATAATGACGATCACGGGGATAGTAACGATGACGATTACGATGATGATGACAATTGCTTTTATACTTGCTTATATACTTGCTTACATAAGCAATTATATAAGCACGTATATAAGCAGGTATAAGATCAAGTATATAAGCAACTATATAAGCAACTATATAAGTATGTATGTAAGTAAATAAGTAAGTATATAAGCAAGTATTTAAGTAAGTAAATAAGCGAGTATATCAGCAAGTATATAAGTCAGTATATAAAAAAGTGTATCAATGTGTCTATAAGTATATAAGGAAGTATATAAGTAAGAGTATAAGCAAGTATATAAGCAAGTACATAAGAAATATAAAAGTGAATTTATAGGTAAGTATATAAGCAAGTATATGAGCAAGTATATAAACAAATATATAAGCAATTATATAAGTAAGTGTATAAGCAAGTATATAAGCAAGTATATCATCAAGTATATCAGCAAGTTTATAAGTATGTATATATGTAAGTAAAAAAGTAAGTATATAAGCTAGTATATAAGCAAGTATATAGGTAAGTCTATAAGAAAGTATATAAGCATGTATATAAATAAGAAGATAAGTAAGTATATAAAAGTATGTATATATGTTAGTATAAAAGCAAGTATGTAAGTAAGTATATAATCAAGTATAAGAGCAAGTATGTAAGTAAGTATATAATCAAGTATATAAGCAAGTATAAGAGCAAGTATATAAATAGGAATATATGTAAGTATATAAAAGTGTGTATATATGTAAGTATAAAAGCTAGTATGTGGTAAGTATATAATCAAGTATATAAGCAAGTATAAGAGCAAGTATATAAATAAGTATAAAAGCAAGTAAGTAAGCAAGTATATAATCAAGTATAAGAGCAAGTCTATAAGTGTATAAGTAATTATACAATTAAGTATATAAGTAAATACCTATAATATATATATATATATATATATATATATATATATATATTATAGGTGGATATACAAATCCACCTTGCAATGGTTACGGAAAATGTTCATCCGGTTTAAATGAGCCAATCAGAACACAGCAAACGATAAGATAAACGATCGGATTGGCTGAAAGCAGCCGCGACCTTACCGTTTCGTATCTTTGGCGGTACAAGCTATAGATTAAATGCGTGTTCAATACAATAATGCATTCAGGGTGCTGTTGGGTCTGTCTCGTTATAGTAATGCGCCGGGTATGTTCGCGGATGCGCGTGTTTGATTTGATTGTTTCTACACCACCATGCGGAAACGATGCACATCCCTGGTGAGCAGGGTGCGGGCCAGTTCTAATGGTATCCTGAGGGCATTTTCTGACAGGTTTGAGGTCATTACCTGAACCATTGTCTTACGATACACGTGCTGACTAATCAGACCTGTCTTAATTATAGTTTTAAATAAATAGTTTTAAAATTAAGTAAAGAGTTTCAAGTTTAACCTAAATTAGTTTTAATATTTGTATTATTACTAACGTTTATGATCCTTATGGTCGAAATAAACGACTTTTTTTAACGAATAACTCGACAACGCCCCTTCTTGTAGCGGAAGTGGCGGCAACGGTGACAATGTTTTCGCCTGAGTGCGTGTTTGTGTGCGTGTGTGTGTGTGTGTGTGTGTGTGTGTGTGTGTGTGTGTGTGTGTGTGTGTGTGTGTGTGTGTGTGTGTGTGTGTGTGTGTGTGAGTGTGTGCGTGTGTGTGTGTGGTGTGTGTGTGTGTGTGTGTGTGTGTGTGTGTGTGTGTGTGTGTGTGTGTGTATGTGTACGTATGTTGTGTTTGTGTGTGTGCGGCAGTGTGCGCGTGTTGTATGTGTATGATGAGTTTGTGCGTGTGTGCATATTTGCACACGCTTGCGTGTGTGTGTGTGTGTGTGTGTGTGTGTGTGTATGTGTATGTGTGTGTGTGTGTGTGTGTGTGTGTGTGTGTGTGTGTGTGTGTGTGTGTTTACCATAAACCAGTTAACATGTTTTCTACATCTTCATAATCAAGATTTTTAAGGACGCGTTTACAAAATTGATAGGTATAGAATCGAACTATTACATGAGATATTATCATGAGACCCTACCTCCGGTCTTGATGGAGTGACCTCAAAATGTAATTCGGGATTACTATTGGAACTCCTGGACTAGTAGACTGGGTTAGACTGGGTGTGCCGAGTTTGGGCTCGTTTTGTTAGTTATGATGAGTCCTTACCTCCGGACTTGCTAAAATGACCTGAAGGTGTACTTCGGTAACTAATATTGTAACACCTGGACTAGTAGAACTAGGTACGCCGAGTTTGGGTTTGTTTTATTAGTTATGATTAAACCGTCACAAAACAAAAGTTCTTTTCACTTTGTCTCTTGTACCGATAGGTAGCCAAGCTGATATTCGGAAAAATGGATAACCTCGTAGTAACATCTTTATGGGCAGTATCGATATCCACTTACCAGTCACATTGTTTTTCGCTGTAACCAACTGTCCTTTATGTGAGCCTCACTTGCCCTCACGTGGTACCCACTTTACTACACTCCAGTGCACACACCACGACCTCTGCCACCTACGCCTCCACATCTACCACCGCACCCCTCTCTAAGCCTTCGTTCTCCACCTCCGCTACCTCCGCCTCTACCATAAACTCTGCTCCCTCCGCCTCAACAATAAATTCCGCTCCCTCCGCCGCCACCACCACGCGCCGTAACTATTCTTTCCACCTCCAACACAATCTAAGGTCGACCCACTTCTGACCCCGCTCTCCCCGTTCCCACTATCTCCGACTTCACCACAAATTTCTTTCCTCCGCCTTCACCACAATGTCAACATGACGGACGATGATCATAACGATGATGATGAATGACGATGACGATGAGGGTGACGATGACGATGATGATGACGATGACGTTGACGATGAAGATGATGATAAACATAACGATGACGATGACGAGTACGCTGATGATGATGATGACGATGATGATGATGACGATGATGATGATGATGAAAATGACTATGACGATTACGCTGTTGATGACGATGATGATGACGATGACGATGACGATGACGATGACGATGAAGATGACGATGACGATGACGATGACGATGACGATGACGATGACGATGACGATGACGATGACGATGAAGATGATGATCACGATGATGATGACCATGACAACGATGACGATGATGATGATGACGATGAGGATGATGAACGATGACGATGATGATGACGATAATGACGACGATGACGATGATAATGACGATGATAAGTGACGATTACGAAGACGATAACGATCACGATGACTATCATGATGACTATCATGATGACGACGATGTTGATGATGATGATGATGATGATGAAAATGACTATGACGATGACGCTGTTCATGACGATGATGGTGACGATGACGATGACCATAACGATGATGATGAATGACGATGACGATGAGGGTGACGATGACGATGATGATGACGATGACGTTGACGATGAAGATGATGATAAACATAACGATGACGATGACGAGTACGCTGATGATGATGATGACGATGATGATGATGACGATGATGATGATGATGAAAATGACTATGACGATTACGCTGTTGATGACGATGATGATGACGATGACGATGACGATGACGATGACGATGAAGATGACGATGACGATGACGATGACGATGACGATGACGATGACGATGACGATGACGATGACGATGACGATGAAGATGATGATCACGATGATGATGACCATGACAACGATGACGATGATGATGATGACGATGAGGATGATGAACGATGACGATGATGATGACGATAATGACGACGATGACGATGATAATGACGATGATAAGTGACGATTACGAAGACGATAACGATCACGATGACTATCATGATGACTATCATGATGACGACGATGATGATGATGATGATGATGATGAAAATGACTATGACGATGACGCTGTTCATGACGATGATGGTGACGATGACGATGATGATTACGATGACGATGTTGATGAAGATGACGATGACGATGATGACGACTAGGATGATGACGATGACGATGATGGTGACGGTGACGGTGACTATAACGATGAAGATGACGATCATGATGACGATGACGATCACGATGACGATGACGATGATGATGACGATGACATTGACGATGAAGATAATGATGACGATGGCGATGACGATAACGATGATAATGACGCTGACGACGATGGTGACGATGATCATAACGATGACGATGACGATGATGATTACGCTGATGATGATGATGACGATGATGATGATGATGATGACGATGACGATGACGATTATAATAACGATGAAGTTGACGATGAAGATGATTATGACGATGATGATGACGATGACGACGACGATGACGATGACGATGACGATGATAATGGTGATGACGATGGTGATAACGATGACGACGACGATGACGATGACCGACGATTACGATGACGATGACGATGACGACGACGATAACGATGACCTTGACGATGACGATGACGATGACTGACGATAACGACGAGCGTTAATATTTATAGTTTAGATAAAAAAAATAATGTGACGGGGCCGCTGTATAAAACTTTAAAAAGAAAGATAATACATGTTAACTGACTTTACCTAAATTAAAATAATAAACATCATTTTTGTTTGATAAAAAAGGTTTGATAAGCCCGTACGTGATGATTATCATCATTACAGCCCTTCACCAGTCCACTGCTGAACATAGGCCTCCCCCAAGTAATGCCACAAAGCACGGTCCTGAACCACCTGCATCCATCGACTTCCTGCATAGCTTACCAGGTCATCACTCCATCTAGTGGGGTTTCGCCCTACACTACGCCTACCGGTACCAGGCTGCCACTCGAGAACCTTTCTTCCCCATCGGTTATCGGTTCTTCGAGCTATATGGCCGGCCCATTGCCACTTCAGCTTACTAATCCGTTGGGCTCGGTCGGTCATTCTGGTTTTACTGAGGATATCCACATTTCTGAATCTATCACGCAGAGAAACTCCAAGCATAGCACTCTCCATATCTCGCTGAGCGACCTTGAGCGTCCTCATACGGCCAGCAGTGAAGGACCACGTCTCAGATCCGTAAGTCATCACTAGCAACACGCACTAGTTGTACAATCTAGTTTTCAGAGATTGAGGTATACCTGACGAGAAGATGTGTCGCAATTTCCCGAACGCTGCCCAGCCGAGTTGGATCCGTCGATTGACCTCTCGATCGAAGTTGGACTTACCTAGTCGAACTATTTGTCCCAGGTAAACGTACTCGTCAACGACTTCGAACATAGTGCTCCCAGTTGTTGGAAGTGGGGAGTTTGGACCGGCATAGGTGTGATATGGACATTAAACATGATCTTTGTATTCTCCATGTTCATCTTAAGACCTATCCGACTCCAGCGATTCTGCCATAAGTACTACATCGTCGGCAAATCGAAGGTGAGTGATGTACTCGCCATTGATGTTAATACCGTATCCTTTCCAGTTCAGTAGCTTGAAAACGTCTTCCAATGCAGCGGGGAAGAGTTTCGGGGATATAACGTCACCCTGTCTTACACCTCTCTGCAGTTGGATAGATTTCGAACTCTGGTTCTTTACTCGGATAACCATTGTAGCCCTACTGTACAAACACTTCAGCACTTCGATATACCGGACAGGCAACTTGGCACCGCTGAAGGGACTGTAGCACCGCCCAAATTTCGACGGAATCAAAGGCTTTCTCATAGTCCACATACGCCAGGTAAAGTGGCAGAATGTACTCTTCGGTATTCTGTACAATCTGCCGCAGGGTATGTATGTGGTCTATGGTACTGAAGCCTTTTTGGAAACCGGCTTGTTCGGGAGGCTGGAATTCGTCGTGTCTACGTGCGAGACGATTCGTAATGACTCTCGAAAATAGCACGTAGACGCGGCTCAGAAGGGAATTCGGTCTGTAGTTCTTCAAGAGAGCGTTGTTGCCTTTCTTAAAAGTCAAGACTACCGCACTTCTGCTTCACGCCTCCGGAGTAGTGCCACCATGGAGGACGGAATTGAAGAGCTTCTGAAGGACTACAAGTACCGGTGTTCCACCCGCTTTAAGAAGCTCCGCTCTAATTTCGTCCTCGCCTGGGGCCCTGCCGTTTTAAGGTGCTGGAGAGCCATTCTAATGTCGCTCAGCAAGCAATTAACTAATCAACAAATTTAGTTCGAAAGTAAGGTATCTACTATTATGACTATACTAGCTGTTGCCCGCGGCTTCGCCCGCATGGTCACTGGTAAATGAACTATCCATTGCTCTTTGAATTGAAAGAAAACTGAGTTTTATAGATTTGTCAGAGATGCAGCCATTAAAAGGAAACTGAGCAAAATTGATTCGTCAGCCTATTTAAATGTTTTGAAACGCAGCGCATAGGAAAGCATGAAAATAACCTGTTTATTCCAAATGGGATGGGGAAAAGTTTGCATTGTATATATAATGTGTCCGGTTACCGGTGTCGGAGCTTTTAATGCTATAAAATATAATCAATTTCATCGACAAATCATGTCTTAAATCTCATTTAGACCTAGCTGTATTTAAATGGCAACCATTTAAATTTTCAGTGTCACCACCTCGACCACGTGCATTAAAATTACAATATTCACCGATGTAGAAGTCCTACATTCTTAAATGATGTCTCATTGGATAGATAAAGATACGCGTAATAAAATAATAGCAAACTTTTCACTGCAAAATTGTATTTGGATCCTAAAAAGACTTAGAAAAAAGTGTAAAAAATCGGTTATTTTTTCACATTTTCAACTTTAATGAAAAAAGTAAGTCATTTACCTAGTGATTTTTTACATTAATCGGATAGACCAGAACATATCCTAACCAAAAACATAAAAATCTTAATTGTAAATTAAATAGTTTAAGAATTGTACTTTATCAAACACGACCTCTTAAAAGCGCAAGCTGCACGTGCAGGATCATTTATGATTCAATAGCAGGTAGAAAAACCCAAAGCCCATTGTTTGATGTTCTAAACAAGTATACTTGGGACAACAAAAACAGTCGTCCCTCGCCACGCGTTGTGATTACACTACTTTTGCCCCTGTAAGATCGCTTGTTGTTGTTACTGTTAAAAAAAATCCGTTTTGTGGAACTTTTTAAGTTTGTGTTGAAGTTTCTAGTTATTTTGATATTTTCAAAAATGGCAGATGGTAAATACTCAAACCAGCATGTCGCTGATATCCACTTTGTGTATAGATTGTGCTACGGCAACGCAAACAGAGCTGTCACAGAGTACGCCAGAATGTTTCCCAACAGGCCTACACCAAATGCTCGCACTTTTGTAAGGATACATTTGCGGATAGCTGAACTTGGGATCAGAAGACCCGCTAATGAAAGATTTCGGCTTGTGGCACCTGAGGAAGTAGAAGAGATATTACGTTTAATTACACAAGATCCCAGACTCGATGTAAGACGAATAAGCAATATGCTTAATTTAACAAAATGGTCAGTGTGGAGAGTTTTAAAGAGGGAAGGTTTGCATCCTTACCATTTTCGGTGGGTACAAGTCATTCGCGAACCTGATTATGCTATAAGGGTAGTTTTTTGTTCGTGGATCAATAGAAGAACAAGACAAGATGCAGATTTTTTAAAAAGAATTTTGTGGACCGACGAAGCCACTTTCACGAGATCGGGTTATATAAATCATACGTAACGAGCATCTGTGGCTTCAAAACAACTCTCATGCTGTTAGAAAAAGTACTTTCCAACATGAAATTCGAGTGAACGTTTGGGCTGGAATAAAAGACGATATTTCAATTGGGCCGATAATTTTACCAGAAACTATGAATGGCCCAAGATTTTTGGAGTTTTTGCAACCACAGTTTTTGGAGGAATTAATGGAGCTTCCATTAACTCACAGGGCAAGGATGATTCTCCAACTTGACGGTGCTCCTGCACATTTTGCAGTAAATGTGCGAAATTATTTAAATGAGCGCTATTCGCCGTGGATTGGTCGCGGTGGAAGGATCGCTTGGCCTCCGCGTTCACCGGATTTAACTCCCTTAGACTTTTTTCTATGGAGCACTATGAAGCAAAGAGTTTATGCGAACATGCCAAACTCACGAGAAGAGTTGATTAATAAAATAATCGAAGTTGGAAATGAATTGCGACAAGATCGGGAGATGATCAGACGTGCAACTTATCATGTGGCAATAAGGGCTACAACATGTCTCCAACATCGCGGACGTCATTTCGAACAATTTTATAAATAACTTTTTAGTTACGTGCATTTTGAAATGTTGTGTTTCACTCTTCTCATCAATTCACTTTGTCTGTCTGCAACCAGGGCGACAAATTTTTCAAAGGTCATATTCCATCAGTTATAATACTGATTTATTTTTGGTTACAATTAAGATTTTTATGTTTTTGGTTAGGATATGTTCTGATCTATCTGATTAGTGTAAAAAATCATTAGGTAAATGACTTACTTTTTTCATTAAAGTTGAAAATGTGAAATAATAACCGATTTTTTTTTACATTTTTTTCTTTTCTAAGTCTTTTTAGGATCTAAATATAATTTTGCAGTTAAAAGTTTGCTTTTATTTTATTACGCGTATCTTTATCTATCCAATGAGACATCTTTTAAGAATGTAGGACTTCTACAATGGTGAATATTGTAATTTTAATGCTCGGGGTCGAGGTGGTGACACTGAAAAATTTAAATGGCTGCCATTTAAATACAGCTAGGTCTAAATGAGATTTGAGACATGATTTGTCGATGAAATTGATTATGTTTTATAGCATTAAAAGCTCCGACACCGGTAACCGGACACAAAGTATATCAGCAAGTAAATAAGTAAGTACATAAGCAAGTATATAGGTAAGTATATAATCCAGTATATAAGTAAGTATATAAGCAAGTATATAAGTAAGTATAAAAGCAAATATATAAGAATACATACATAGGCAGGTATAAAAGTAAGCATATGAGCAATTATATAAGAAAGTATATCAGCAAGTATATAAGTAAATATATAGGTAAGTATATAAGCAAATATATAAGCAATAGTACATAAGTAGATATACAGTATGTAACAAAAACCCTGTTGGTCGTTTCAGGGACGTATAGGTGTACACATAGGCATGGTAATTATGATAATGAAAATTTTTTTTGGTTGCTTTAAATGGGGTTTTTAGGTTTCTAATAAGATAACTTAAGAAATATTAAATATCTAAAAATGTTATTAGCTTCTGAACTTACCGACACGTGCCGACATAATATTATCTACGTCACAGAATAAATAATAGTCTACGGCCGATATGAGGTCACTCACATGGCCAACTCAAAGCAAGCCGCTAAGCGGCGCGTGCTTCCCCAAGGTTTTTGTGTAAATCTTTATACCTATCTAGACTCAGTTATTCTCAGAAAATTTTAATTTCAAAATAATAGAAATTATAATGAAATGGTTATTATTTCAACCCCAATACACATAGTATTTTTTTATAGTATAAGGAGACAAACGAGCACACAGTCCACCTGATGGTAAGTGGTTGCTGTGGCCCATAGACATCTACATGTATCCTTGATTACGAATCAAAATGCAGATGCGTTGCCACCCGTGAGGACTAAGATGGAATGCCCCATTTCTAGTAAAAACATTCTCAGATTCTCTACACTCACCATACGAAATACAGCAGCATTAAGCAACCATTTCACGCTGGTATTCTGTGAGAGCGTGGTCCTTCCCCGGTTGAGGCGACCCATTCGTGCTACAACTATACATCGAGTATCATTATGTATATTATAAGTATCATTTGAATACTTATGTTATAAATTTCCACTTTTTTGCTAAATAGATCTACGAAAATATTTAAAAAGGTTAATTCATGCATAAAATATCGTGATTAATTCCAAATTTGCAACTATTTGTAGGAGAAATTTAGTATGTATTTTTCATATGAAATATTATTCGATAAAGAATTTATGTAGTAGGTTTTTAGATTTACGAAGTACTTAGGTACTAGGAAAAAACCCAAAAAACTCCACTCTTCGAGTGATAAAAAGAAGCGTCCACTATATGCCAATTAACTAATTTTGATCCAATATTTATTATTTATTCTGTGCTAAAATTTAGTAGTAATATTTAAAACATGGGAAGTTTTATGAACATAAAATTTTGTCACAATTCAGTGATCAAGAATAAAAATAAAAATAAGGGTTGTTTATCGTAGGTCGATAAAACATATAAGCCGGTGCCGCAAATGTGTGAGAGGTGGACATATTGAACAACATCTTCGTGGTTGTCGTATCTATTATTTATTCTGTGCTAATATTTAGTAGTAATATTTAAAAACATGGGAAGTTTTATAAACATAAAATTTTGTCACAATTCAGTGGTCAAGAATAGAAATATAAATAAGTATTGTTAATCGTCGGTCGATAAAAAATGCTAATTATTAGATTTTGGAAAACATAGCAGCATAATAGTTTAAGTATTTGTTATTGTGTGGATTTATAACAAAATTTTTTAAATGTTTCTTGTTATAAAAGTGTTTTAATGTATTTTATTAATCCTAGCTATAATTTAATTTCTTAATAACACTTACGGATATTATTTATTTCAGACGCTGTCTGAAATAAATAAATAAATAATAACTATTATTAAAAAAAATAACATAAAAAATCACGAAATTTTTATCGATTTAGAAAATATCAAAATTATGTTATAGAGTACAATAGCTTTGCCACGTCCATGCAAACAAACAAGCATCAAGCACCAGTAGCGCGTTAGCACTGATATTGACGGTTGTGTTTTATATTGCGAAATTAATATTCCGCCGTGAGTGACTTGTGTGTGATGTCTTACTCAAACGAGGAATATTTTAATATGTTGATGTATCTCGGGAAACGTAACTATTATGCAATTATGCAGCAGCACGAAGACTTTACGGGGAGTGTTTTGCTACTCCACGAAATATACAATTGCCGTTGGCAATGACGTTCCAACGACTTCACATTCGTATGTACAATACTGGCAGTGTGCATGGCCGTGATCAACAACGAACAGATTCAGGAAGACCGAGGATATACGACGACCACATCGAGGAGCACATTCTCGACATGTTTGAGGAAGATGCGACGCGGAGCACGCGCTCGGTGGCACGTGAACTAGGTGTGAACAATATGCGCGTTTGGAGAGCCCTCAAAGATGATGGCCAGCACCCATATCATTATCGTCGAGTTCAGTGTCTTCTTCCTAACGACTACGAGCCGAGAATGGATTACAGTAGATGGTTACTAGATAAGGTTGAGGGAGATTCTGAGTTTTTGAACCGCGTACTTTTTACGGATGAATGCTCTTTTGTAAGAACAGGTGTATTTAATGCTCATAATGAACACGTATGGTCAACGACAAATCCGCATTCGTATAAACCAAGCCATTTTCAACACCGATGAAAAATCAATGTGTGGGCGGGAATTGATTGAAAACACAATGAGCGGTGAAAACTACGGACGTTTTTTGCGAGAAGAACTAAGCAATGAACTTGACGAAATAAATTTAGACCTCGTTCGTCGCATGTGGTTTCAACACGATGGTGCTCCACCGCATTTCTCCCGTTGTGTAAGAAGTTTTTTGGATACTGAGTTCGGTGAAAGATGGATTGGCCGCGGTGGACCGGTCAACTGGCCGGCACGATCACCTGATTTCACACCTTTAGATTTTTATCTCTGGGGTACGATTAAGCAGACTGTATTCCAAAAAACATGCGATACCGAGGCAGAAATGCGTATGCGTATAATCGCAGAATTTGAAAAAATGAAGTCCGAAATATCTGTTATGCAACGCGTGCGTTCGGACATTTTAAGCCGGTGTCACAAATGTATAGAGGTACAAGGTGGACATATTGAACAACATCTTCGTGGTCGTCGAGTAGACTTAGTGATAAATTAGTGTTTGACTATAACAGCTGTGATGTGACGAGGTCACGACCTCAGTGTGCAGTTAGTGTAGGTAAGACCGCGCGCGCGCGCCCCGTCTTTGATGTACGTCACCGCCAGCCGCCACCCGCCGCTGTCGATAATTCCAGGCAGAGGTAATCAATGCACATAAAATTTACAAATATTATTTAATTAAAATTTAATTTGATTATTTTTATGTCGAGTTTTCTGAAGTAAAGTTATTTCTATACATTTGAATACTGATTCTGATAACGCACTTAACGGGAACCACAGGGTTTTTGTTACATATTGTATAAGTGAGTATATAAGTAAGTATATAATATGTAAGTAATATATATATATCTGTTTTTGTTACTTACTTTTATCTTTGATGTTTTTATGTATTATTTTATTTTCTGTATCAAAACTGTATGAGTGTAAGTTACTGAATAAATGCATGTCTATGTCTATGTCTATGTCTGTCTAATAGGTAAGTATATATGTAACGATCACGATGATTATCATGATGACGATGAACGGCGATGAAGATGATAATAACGATGATGATGACGATGATGACGACGATGATTATGACGATGATCATAACGGTGACGAGAACGATGACGATGACGATGACGATTACGCTGGTGATGATGATGACGATGATAATGACGTTGACGATGAAGATGATGATGATGACGACGACGACGACGACGATGAGGATAACAATGACGTTGATGATGACGATGACGATGACGACGACGATAAGGATGACAATGACGATGGCGATGACGATGACGTTGACGATAACGACGAGCGTTAATATTTATAGTTTAGATAAAAAAAATGTGACGGGGCCGCTGTATAAAACTTTAAAAAAGAAAGATAATGCATGTTAACTTACTTTACCTAAAAGAAAATAATAAACATCATTTTTGGTTGATAAAAAAGGTTTGATAAGCCCGTACATCATCATCATCCTTACAGCCTTTCACAAGTCCACTGCTGAACATAGGCCTCCCCCAAGTAATGCCACAAAGCACGGTCCTGAACCACCTGCATCCATCGACTTCCTGCATAGCTTACCAGGTCATCACTCCATCTAGTGGGGTTTCGCCCTACACTACGCCTACCGGTACCAGGCTGCCACTCGAGAACCTTTCTTCCCCATCGGTTATCGGTTCTTCGAGCTATATGGCCGGCCCATTGCCACTTCAGCTTACTAATCCGTTGGGCTATGTCGGTCATTCTGGTTTTACTGAGGATATCCACATTTCTGAATCTATCACGCAGAGAAACTCCAAGCATAGCACTCTCCATATCTCGCTGAGCGACCTTGAGCGTCCTCATACGGCCAGCAGTGAAGGACCACGTCTCAGATCCGTAAGTCATCACTAGCAACACGCACTAGTTGTACAATCTAGTTTTCAGAGATTGAGGTATACCTGACGAGAAGATGTGTCGCAATTTCCAGAACGCTGCCCAGCCGAGTTGGATCCGTCGATTGACCTCTCGATCGAAGTTGGACTTACCTAGTCGAACTATTTGTCCCAGGTAAACGTACTCGTCAACGACTTCGAACATAGTGCTCCCAGTTGTTGGAAGTGGGGAGTTTGGACCGGCATAGGTGTGATATGGACATTAAACATGATCTTTGTATTCTCCATGTTCATCTTAAGACCTATCCGACTCCAGCGATTCTGCCATAAGTACTATATCGTCGGCAAATCGAAGGTGAGTGATGTACTCTCCATTGATGTTAATACCGTATCCTTTCCAGTCCAGTAGCTTGAAAACGTCTTCCAATGCAGCGGGGAAGAGCTTCGCGGATATAACGTCATCCTGTCTTACGTCTCTCTGCATTTGGATAGGTTTCGAACTCTGGTTCTTTACTCGGATAGCCATCGAAGCCCTAGTGTACACACACTTCAGCACTTCGATATACCGACAGGCAACTTGGCACCGCTGAAGGGATTGTAGCACCGCCCAAATTTCGAAGGAATCAAAGGCTTTCTCATAGTCCACATACGCCAGGCAAAGTGGCAGATTGTACTCTTCGGTTTTCTGTACAATCTGCCGCAGGGTATGTATGTGGTCTATGGTACAGAAGCCATTTTGGAAACCGGCTTGTTCGGGAGGCTGGAATTCGTCGAATCTACGTGCGAGACGATTCGTAATGACTCTCGAAAACAGCACGTAGACGCGGCTCAGAAGGGAATTCGGTCTGTAGTTCTTCAAGAGAGCGTTGTTGCCTTTCTTAAAGGTCAAGACCACCGCACTTCTGCTTCACGCCTCCGGAGTAGTGCCACCATGGAGGACGGAATTGAAGAGCTTCTGAAGGACTTCAAGTACCGGGGTTCCACCCGCTTTAAGAAGCTCCGCTCTAATTTCATCCTCGCCTGGGGCCCTGCCGTTTTAAGGTGCTGGAGAGCCATTCTAATGTCGCTCAGCAAGCAATTAACTAATCAACTAATTTAGTTCGAAAATAAGGTATCTACTATTATGACTATACTAGCTGTTGCCTACGGCTTCGCCCGCATGGTCACTGGAAAATGAACTATCCTTTGATTTTTGAATTGAAAGAAAACTGAGTTTAAAAAAAAAGTTACCCCCCCACACTAGGATTTTCTCCTGAACGAGTAATAACTTAAGTTAACTTCCTGTAAGTGGAGGTAGTTTACAAACATAAATTGCACAAGGACTAGTGTTGCCAGGTCTAGCAAGTAAAATTTCGGGACGGAAGGTAAAAATAATCGGGAATTTGGTTTTCAAATCGGGACAGCTGTAATGGCTACAAAATATAGATTTTTTTGTAGCCTTTTTGTGATTTATAATTATTATTTAGATCTGATCTCATGATCTGATCTCTAAATTTTTGAGAGATGCAGCCATTAAAAGGAAACTGAGCAAAATTGATTTGTCAGCCTATTTAAATGTTTTGAAAGGCAGCGTATAGGAAAGCATGAAAATAGCCTGTTTATTCCAAATGGGAATGGGATATTTTTTTTAATTAAAGGAAACTGAGCATAATTATCCGTCGGGGATGCAGACTTTTGAAAAGAAACTGAGATAAATTGATTCGTCAGAAATGCAGTTTTCTAAATCGAAAGGAAACTGAGCCAAATAAAAGATCCGTCAGAGATGCAGCCTTTTGAGTTAAAAGGAAACTGAGCTTAATAGGTCCATCAGCGGTGCAGCATTTGGAATTGAAGCAGTTTCCAGCATTGATATTGTGACGGCCCAACATTATTATTAATAATAAATTCAAATTAAAGGGGCGTCAAAATTGTCTTAAAAGATATATATATTAAGCAATAAAATTACATTAATAACCATAAAGTTAATATAAATACATTTCAGACATTAGACCAATAACATAGTAAATAATAAAAAATAAATTTTTATTTTTTATTATAATGGATTTCCGCAAAGTAACGCCTGATTCTATCAATTATAGTAAATAATAATAAAAATAAAAAATAAAAAAAGGCAAAATATTGTCTTTCAGAATAAATAAATTTATTTAAAAAACTTGTAAAAATATTTAAAATATGATAAATAATAGAAATAAAAGTCTAAAATATTATAAAAATAAAGATAAATAACATTTATAAGATAGTTAGAAAATATGTTAAAAATTGTGTAAGTCATGGAAGGAGTTCATGTATAAAAGAAAATTTTCCTAAGTTATGGAAGGTGTTCATGTATAGATGTCTTGTATGAAGGAGCTGCCCGAGATACATACCTGCAGTTGTACATATATATGGGGTGGTCGGGAGCCCGACTGCCTGAAGTACTGTAGCACAATGACTAGTCCTATATTAGGGACTTATGATATTAAAGTCAATGATACAAAAGCAATACTATAGAAGGTCTCTATGATAAATATACATTACAATAGTAGGGTTGTGGGTTCGAACCCTATATATGAATGACTTATGAAAGTAAGGTCTATGATACAAAAGCAATATTATAGAAGGTCTCCTTGATGCATAAGCATTGTATGGGGTGGTCGGGAGCCCGACTGCCTGAAGTACTGTAGCACAATGACTAGTTTTATATTAGGGACTTATGATATTAAATTCAATGATACAAAAGCAATACTATAGAAGGTCTCCATGATGAATTTGCATTACAATAGTAGGGTCGTGGGTTCGAACCCTATATATTAATGACTTATGAAAGTAAGGTCTATGATACAAAAGCAATAATATAGAAGGTCTCAATGATTAATATGCATTAAAATAGTAGGGTTGTGGGTTCGAACCTAGTACTGTAGCAAAATGACTAGTACTTATTAGGGACTTGAAAAGGAATATTATAGTGGTGGGTATGCTGCTTCACGAGCAATTGGTCCTAGGTAAACTTGGACTCGCTAACCGATGTGTCCTAGACATATCATCTTAGTGCTGGTGGTAAGCGGGTTTGTTGTAACAATACGGCTTTCCCGTGGACATCGCACACCCATATCGTTTGTGGGCGACGTCGTAGCGCATAGCGATGCGTCGTCTATCTTTTGGATTGGGGTGATGAGTGTGTTTGGTGGCACTTTTAAGTGTAACAGGCATACTCAATTTCACGTCTTAGTGCATTAGCGCTATGATACGTGGAGTTTTGTCCACTGGCGTCTTAGTAGCGTGCTACCATGATACGTTGGTGCAGTTTTATATAACAACAATCTTAGTGCCGGTGGTAAGCGGGTTTGTTGTAGCAATACGGCTTTCCCGTGGACATCGCACACCCATACCGTTTGAGGGCGGCGTCGTAGCGCATAGCGATCCGTCATCTATCTTTTGGATTGGGAGGAGTGTGTTTGGTAGCACTTTTAAGTGTAACAGGCATACTCAATTTCATGTCTTAGTGCATTAGCTCTATGATACGTGGAGTTTTGTTCATTGGCGTCTTAGTAGCGTACTACTATATGTTGGTGATATTTTTTATATAACAACAATAAAAACTTTGTTACCAAAATCGATAGGGGTCATGTGGGTGTGTTGTGAGGGTGCCCCATCCGTACGATAGTTGCATTGATGCTTACTGCTACTTGCGGTATTGCGTCTTGTGATGGATCTGCGGGTGTGCTGCGCCTGATTCGACGCATTCCTGTGGTTCTGGTCGATGGAGGTAAACAAATAACATCTTAGTGCCGGTGGTAAGCGGGTTTGTTGTAGCAACACGGCTTTCCCGTGGACGTCGCACACCCATACCGTTTGTGGGTAGCGTAGCAGCGCATAGCGATGCGTCGTCTATATTTCGGATTGGGGTGATGAGTGTGTTTGGTAGCACTTTTAAGTGTAACAGGCGTACTCAACTTCATGTCTTAGTGCATTAGCGCTATAATACGTGGAGTTTTGTTCATTGGCGTCTTGGTAGCGTGCTACTATGATACGTTGGTGATATTTTTATATAACAACAATACAAACTTTGTTACCAAAGTCGATATGGGTCATGTGGGTGTGTTGTGAGGGGACGCCATCCGTATGATAGTTGCATTGATGCTTACTGCTACTTGCGGTATTGCGTCTTGTGATGGATCTGCGGGTGTGCTGCGCCTGATTCGACGCACTCTTGTGGTTCTGGTCGATGGAGGTAAACAAATAACCTCTTAGTGCCAGTGGTAAGCGGGTTTTTTGTAGCAATACGGCTTTCCTGTGGACATCGCACACCCATACCGTTTGTGGGCAGCGTAGTAGCGCATAGCGATGCGTCGTCTATATTTCGGATTGGGGTGATTAGTGTGTTTGGTAGCACTTTTAAGTGTAACAGGCGTACTCAACTTCATGTCTTAGTGCATTAGCGCTAAGATACGTGGAGTTTTGTTCA